AAGAGTAGGAAAAAAAAAAAAAAGGCGCAAATTTTAGCTGCCATAATGCAGGGACTATCTCGAGGCAACCCTAGGCAATAAAAATCTTTCAGGCCGGGAAGGCCTTGACCTTGCTTGGCATTGTCGAGACTGGGGCACAACCAATGTGGAAAAAAAAAAAAAAAAAGGGCACCGGAAAGGCGAATGTCCATCCATCCCTGGGAAGCCGGGGATGGGTGGACCTCCTAAGCCCTCAGCCCTTACGACTAGCCTCTCAAATGAGAGAGCTGCTTTCTCCTTCAACAAAGGAGGCCAGAGCACTCGCTAGCTCCAGTCCTAGAGAAATTCACTGCAATCACGACAGTGGAGCCTCAGGTCACTTTTGACATGGCAGGGAGGAAAACTGAATTTTTATTACTTATTGGAGCTAACTACTCTGTCCTGACCTATCCCATTGGGTCTGTCCTCAAAGCAAACTTCACAGTGACGGGAATAAATAGCCTGCCTAAGGAAAGATGATTTACTTTTCCCATTAGTTGTGAGACTGGTACTAGTAATGAAATCCCCCACTGTATGTCAGGACTAGGGTCCAGTGTGGAGAGCCCCTCGTCCCAGGAAATGGGGTGCTGCCAGAAAGGGGACAGCCCCTCGCCTGTCACATAGAGCACAGTCATGGGGAACCTGGTACTAAACCATTCCTAGAGGACCCGCTTCTGGGGCAGGATTTCCCACATAGCAGAGCAGTCCCTCCCTGCGATCTATTAAAAGTCAGCCCTCAACCCACTTGGAAAGAGCTCTACCAAGTTTTGTTAAGCTCCCCAACTGCTGTCAAATTACAAGGAGTCAATAGCTGGGTACATTTGTCTTGATTTAAACCAGGTTCTTATGAGTCCCCACAGGTTCCTCCAGAAAATAGAACGGGAAGTGTGACCTATTCCTGTGAACTCGTGGATGACCTTAAGCTCTTATTCTGAAAATAGATAAATCTACATGTCCCAAGGAATCAGGGGACTTTTCTGAATAATTATTCTTTTAGCTCAGTGTCTATACCACTGCTCTCTCTTCAAACTAATTCCATCTCATTTTATTATATAGCTTTACCTTAAATTAACAGACTGCTATGAAAAAATAACTTTACTGTCAATTACCTCTACTATTAATTATTATTATTATTTTTTTAAGCAAGGCAACCAAGCCTTGGTTGACCTCACAGATTGCAAGGACCTTGTCAGCTTACAAGCCCTTATTTTTTCTATTTTTTATGTCCACGGCATTTGGTCTTCCTAGGTGGTCTCCCATCCAAGTACTAACCAGGCCCGTCCCTGCTTAGCTTTCGAGATCAGACAGGATTGGGCGTGTTCAGGGTAGCATGGCCATAGATTTTACTACTGATTTTTGACCTTTGCCTTTTCAATCTTTTTGTTAAATTTATATCTCTAGGCTGCAAAGCTTCCTGCAACTTCCAATTGCTGAAACAACCCCATGTTCTCTGCCTCCAGAGCCCTTAGAATAGGTTTCCGGAGATTTTTATTCCCAGCAGGCAGGGACTACAGCCCTATTTCAGCTTTGAAGAAGTTACAGAAGACAGACCTTCCTCCCTCAAGTCCCCTTAAGAATAAGGAAATACAATCTCTGAGTGAGGAGAATGTAGGGAGGAGCAAGAGAACAAAATGTTAAATCAAGCCACATTCAGAGACTGCAAAGTGCTGATCAACCCCGCAGCCAGACCACGAGGATACCTGCAGAACAAAGGAAGATTTCTGCTGGGATTGTGAAGAGAAAGTGGCATCCTACACAAAATAAAATCATTCATCCCTACGGCTAAAACCAGGGGAACCTATGGATCAAAGGCTGGGAATTGCCAGCAGGCCTTTCATGCTACATATACTCTTACCTCTTCTGGCTACCTGGCTACCTATGCTTATCCTTTCACATTGTAGTTCCATACTATCAAGGGAAATGGGTAAACAAAGTCTTTATACTGTAATTCACAGAAACTAAGGAATGATATATAAACTGAATTCCCAGAACACTGGGGGTCCCTTCACAGTATCTTTATCTCTCTGTCACTGTCTCTGTCTCTCTGTCTGTCCCTCCGAGTCCCTCTTAGGCTCTCTCACTCTTTGCCTCTGACAGGAGACCACACTTCATCTATGGGGTGTTAGCCTTTCTCTAATAAACTTTCCTTTTGACTCTGACCCTGGTGGGTGTTTGAATTCTTTCTTGTGTTCCAAGAACCCTTTCTCTTTTGGTGCAGGGCTTGATTTCCACACCCTCCCCCGCCCCGCCTCCAACTTCGAGGACTTTGCCCTGTCCTGCATCATCTCCTCTCCAACTGCTGCTGCCTCCTTGCTGTGCTAGAGCACGCTGATACCCCATC